TCCGTAGACGTAGGTTAGTTAGATCAAAATACGTTAAATTATTGTCTCTTATGTAATTAATTGATTGTTTGGTTTCATTTTTACTGGTGTGATTGGATTGAGACCTTTTGACCTAACAAGTGGTATCAGAGCATGGGAAGAGGTAAGTTTAGAGGAGTTTCATTAAAGGAAGAAGTTCGAGTTCGTGTTTTGAAGGGCATAAAGTGTGAAGACACATAAGAGAAAATGATTGTGAAACTTTCATTGTAGGTGAAGCCTAGCTTGTCTAGTATAAAGATAGATGATTTGATGAAATTTGAGTCGAGGTGGATATTGTTGGAAATAATGACTTAAATCCCATAAAATATTTTGTTTAAGATTAGCTAGATATTTTTTGATGAACAAAAAGACTTGTAGAAGAAGAATTCTAAGAGAAAATAGATTTTTAATATACAAGTTTGACTTACAAAAAAAAAATTTAAAAGAAAAAAATTCTTAATAGGTAAGTTTATATAGTTATAAATATGTGAAGTCTCTATAGGGTTAAGTATGAGAAAAAGATATAAATGAGTTATAGAGTTTTATGAGATAGATACCCTATAAGACTATTGAAGATTTACGTCTTATGGGTGTGAATGTTTATTTGTAAATAAACTAAAAGAGACTGAGAGGGTCTACATAGGTATGATGTATGGGTACATATGGGTATATATTTGGTTGTGTTAACAGGGTGCACATGGATATGTGTTTGTTTGGGTTGAGAATACTCTATAGAACTAACGAAGATTGAGAGGGTCTATGGGGTATTGATTGTTGAATGGTTGATACGTTTTGATGTATGTTTGTAATTCTCTACAACTAGTGAATCTTATTTTTCATCCGTGGACGTAGGTCAGTTGGATCAAATCACGTTTAATTATGATCTCTTATGTGATTGATTGATTATTTAATTTTGCTTTCATTGGTGTGATTGGATTGAGGCCTTTTGGCCTAACAAATGGTATCAGAACATGGTTTTAGACATAAAAGAGGTAAGCTTAAACGAGCTCTATTCAAGGAAGAAGTTCGAGTTCGTATTTTGAAGATTTGTTTGCATGAAAAGTGAAAACACACAAGAGAAGAAGATTGTGAAGCTTTCATTGTAGGTGGAGCCAAGCTTGTCTAGCATGAAGACAGATGATTTGATTAAATTTGAGTCAATATGGAGATTGTTGGAAATAATGACTTAAATTCCATAAGAGATTTATTTGGAATTGGCCAGATATTTTTTAATGGACAAGAAGACTTGCAGAAGAAGAATTCTAAAAGAAAATAAATTCTTAATATGTAAGTTTGACTTACAATATAAGAATTCTAAAAGGAAATGAATTCTTAATAGGCAAGTTTGTATAATTATAAATAGGTGAAGTCTCTATAAGGTTAGGTATAATAAAAAAGATGTAAAAGAGTTATAGAATTTTATGGGATAGATACCCTATAAGACTACTGAAGATTTACATCTTATGTGTGTATATATTTATTTATGAGTGAACTAGAAGAGACTGAGAAGGTTCATATAGGTATAATGTATGGGTGCATATTGATATATATTTGATTGTATTAAAAGGGTGCACATGGATATGTGTTTATTTGGGTTGAAAATATTTTATAGGACTGAAGAGTTTGAGAGAGTCTATGAGTATTAATTGTTGAGTGGTTGATACGTTTTGATATATGTTTGTAATTCTTTATAACTAGCGGATCTTATTTTTCATCCGTGGATATAGGTCAGTTGGATCGAACCATATTTAATTATGGTCTCTTATGTGATTGATTGATTGTTTAATTTTGCTTCCGCTGATATGATTGTATTGAGGCTTTTTTACTTAATAAGTTGTATCAGAGCATGGTTTGAAACAAAGGAAGATGTAAGCTTAGAGGAGCTTTATTCAAGGAAGAAGTTCAAGTTCGTATTTTGAAGATTGGTCTGCATGAAGAGTGAAGACACACAAGAAAAGAGGATTGTGAGACTTTCATTGTAGGTGGAGCCAAGCTTGTCTAGCATGAAGACAGATGATTTGATGAAATTTGAGTCAAGGTAGAGATTGTTGGAAATAATGACTCAAATCCCATAGGAGATTTATTTGGGATTGTTAGATATTATTTTATGGACAAGAAAACTTGCAGAAGAAAAACTCTAAGAAAAAAAGGGATTCTTAATAGGCAAGTTTGATTTGCAAAAGAAAATTTCTAAAAAGAAATAGATTCTTAATAGGCAAGTTTGTATGGTTATAAATAGGTAAAGTCTTTATAAGATTAGATATGAAAAAAAGATGTAAGAGTGTTGTAGAGTTTTATGAGATAGACTGTCCATGAGACTATTAGAGATTTACATCTTATAAGTGTGTATGTTTGTTTGTGAATGGAGTAGAGGAGACTGAGAAGGTCCACAAAGGTATGATGTATGAGTGCATATAAGTATATGTTTGGTTGTGTTGAAATGGTGCACATAGATATGTGTTTGTTTGGGTTGAGAATACTCCATGAGATTAGAGGAGATTGAGAGGGTTTATGGGTATTGATTGTTGAGTGGTTGATACGTTTTGATGTATATTTATAATTCTGTACAACTAGTGAAACATTATTTTTCATCCGCAGACTTAGGTTAGTTGAACCGAATCATGCTAAATTGTTATATCTTGTGTGATTGATTAATTGATTGATTTCGCTTCCGTTGATATGATTGGATTGAGACCTTTTGGCCTAACAACAATAACCCAAGTTTTATGAGAGATTAGTATGCCGGTGAACACCTAACTGCTGAAACCAGTTGGCAGAGTTCATACTAGGACCAAAGAATGTGTCGGAAATATTTTCAATACAGTGAAAGGTGTTTAGTTAAGTATGAAACTTAATTAAGGGATTGAGAAATCAAAGTTTAGGAAAACTTAAAACAAAGGTTTGGAATTAAGATTGAGCTGAAAAAGTGAAGTTTAGTTAAGAGTATTCGAATGCCGGTATTCGAACATTCTCATAGGGCATTTGAATGCCCACTCACAGTTTCAGGATATTAGATAGAAAATCACCAAGGAATTCAAATATTCATGAAGGGCAATCAAATATCACTATTCTGTTCGACCCAAAAGTGTGATTTTTTGAAATAGTTTATATTGGAACAAGACTTGCTAATTCATAGGTAATCTTTTACTATAAGAAAGATGAATAATTATATTCATAATTATTCATAAAGGTATCTTTTAAGTTATAAAAACATGTTATTCATTAAATGACACAAGTTAATTAAAGGACACAACCTTTAGGATTATTCTCTACGAATAGAGATGGCTAAAAGTCATTTGTAGTATGTTGTTTAGTGTTGAAAATATGTGCAGAAACTCTCCCAAATTCTTCTTCCTCTTACTCTCAAAAGAAAACAAGTCTTTTAAATTTTGTTTTGCTGTAGTAAATTAGTCTAAGACTGGACATTTGCATGTCTCTTAAAAGGTGATTAGTGATTTGAATTTCGCTAATGCAATGTAAATTCAAATAATATTTTATTGTATCTTGTAGATTAGTTGAACAACCCTTGTTGCATCCCAAGAAATGTTGGGGGCAAATAAGTCTAAAGGAAAGTTTTTTCTGAACATATCTTGAAGCCATTTCCTTGAAGTTTTCAGTTTTTCATTTGGTGCCAATATTCAACTATAGGCATAAGGGATGTACTTCTATAAATAACGTCCTTGGAACCATCTTTATCAACATGAAGTGGTCGTGATGCCAATAATCTTTAGACTTATTCAAGAGTGGAAGATCTACAACAAGAAGATTGATTGATTTGCAAGCTTTGTTAATAAAAGACTGAAAGGTGAAGACTTGGACTGGAGGGACTGCGCCTCTTGTTCTTAGACAATACTCAGTCAAGACTGAGAAAAAAAGTGCTGGAAAACAATGCTAGCTGCTTTAGATGAGGGATTAAATTACTTTAATAGCGTTTGATTGGAAGAGGAAGGTTCTTCTTCTCCTTGGTTAGGCAAAGGCTACATTTCTTGCTTGCTAGCTTATATCATAAGTAAATCATTGAATATAACCATTTTCCATCCTATTTTTTCTTGTTACCAGCCATTGAAGAAAATCTAAGTTCTTAACTATAAAACATGAAGAATAATAAAGCTTTGATTATGTACATGAAAATATACTACAAAATAGCGCAGAATCAAATCATAAAGCCTGTCGGACTTTAAGCAGGACTCCTTTGGGAAAATTGAAATGATTCCAGAGAAAATTTTTTATGCAGCTAGTTCAATTAGTTTTCTATGCTCGTATAGAATTTTAAGACTGAACTTACAACACATCAATTTACTTACAATTCCACTCCTTTTGATCCCAATAGTTTTGGTTGTGACATATGTAGGAGAAGCTCCTCTCTGCCTAGACCAGTTACACTGCTAGTCACGATCCACAGGGGATGTTGCTTATATTGTTCTCTAAACAGTTCTTGATTAGTACCTGATGTTCTCATCAGGCCTTTTTCCTTCGCTTGCCTTCATTTTGTCGAATTTCCTCTTGGAAGAGATAACCAGGAAGGAAATAGGGTCTGAATTTGGATTAGAAATATGGACTTGGACTTTGGATATTTCAGTTAGTCTAAACCCAAAAATAAATTCTCATTTGGGCTTCGATGGCTCAAATTTATTTGTCAGTTCTTTTTTTCAATTATTGTTAGATGAAGTTTTTAAATTTTATAAAGAGGATTAAAATATTATCCATGTAGTTTTATTTATTAATTATTAATTTTTAAATTTTATAAAGGAAATTAAAATATTATGATACTTATTTTTATTTATTAATTATTTTAAATATATTTTAATAAAAATTCGTGAAATTTGAAAATTTTATTAATAATGTATGAGATTTTATTTTATAAATCCTGCAATTATAAAATTTTTCCAATCAATATTACTAATTTTTATGCCAGTTTTTATTCAACGTTTCGATTATAGTTTTGGTTTAAGTTTTATTTAAATGTGTGTTACGGTAGAGTTTAAATGTGGAAGAGCCAAGAGGTCAAAACGATTGCGTTTTAAGGTAGAGTTTGTCGCTAGTGTTTCCTCCACATATGATCCATGTTTAGCAAAACTCATCCAACACTGCAAAGTATCATTACAACTTTAAGAACACGAAAAGAAAAAAAAAAATGTCGTGGTTAGCTAGATCCATTGTCAACTCGCTCAAACTCGACGAAGACGACGACGGCCACGCCAATGCCGTCCCGAATCCGAAACTTGAATCCGATCCACAACCCAAACAGTTGTCTCCCACCCATTCCCATTCCTCATCGGATCCCAACTCTCCACGTGGCGTCAAAGAAGACCTCTCCGAGCTCACCAAAACCCTAACCCGCCAATTCTGGGGCGTCGCCTCCTTCCTCGCCCCTCCTCCCCCGCCGTCAATGGACCAACCGCCTGATCACACGGTGGAGGAGGAAAAATCTCTCCGGCCGCTGTCCGATGATGCGGAGGAGTTGTCCGATGAGGCATTGATAGCGGGAATCCGTAGCGATTTATCGGAGATTGGCGGGAAATTCAAGACTGGAATCTCGAAGTTGTCTAACAATATTGCCGTCTCTGAGTTCACTAAGATCGCTTCGAATTTTCTTCAGTTTGGATCCGAGGAAGAAAGTCTTGAAAAATACGAGAGTGGAAACGTTGTCGGTTTAACTGAAGAAGTGGTCGCCTTTGTTAGGGATATCGCGATGCATCCAGAAACTTGGCTCGATTTTCCTGTGCGTGATGATGATGATTTTGATGGTAATTTACTTAATTTCTAATTTCGCGGATTAATGTGCTTTAATTAAAAAATTAGGATAGTAATGTGCATTTCAGCTCAATTCTTGTTCGTTCATTGTTTCTCCCGTCTGTTTTTCTTTTTAATTTTGAATTTCTTTTCTCAAAGTGGTGATTGTATTTGATTGACTTTGGTTACTGCATAATTGATTATTGGTTATAGAAGCATATAACTCTTTTGAGATAAGTGGAATGATAAAATGAAACAAGTTATGGTTTTTATCCTTTCTAGTTGTTAAGAAGGATCTTCCAATTGCTTTATGCTTTGTGGTTTGTTCTCAGTCGGATAAATTTTGATATCTCTCTATTAGATTTAGCTGACAAACCCAATATAGGTAGGTTTGTTTGCTTAGATAAAGGCGTGTGAATAGTCCTTTCTGCTTTATGGTGCTCAGAAGAGTTGATGGCTGATTGGTGGTAAAGCAATTATCAAAACTGCTCATGACTCATGGGTCTTATGTCAGACCTTTCTGTGTGTGTTAACTAAGTCTTGGTTAAATCACATATCTTTTCTTCTATTTAGATGACTTAACATGGCAAAAAAAGGCATGTTGTGAACTTTTGGCTTTTGAGAAACTGTCTGAATATTTTGGTGTCTTGTATGAAACTGCATTTAATGGCATATTTCAGTATTGTTGCTTTGCCATAAGAGCCATTCCACCAATGGTTCAATGATCTATTTGTGTATATAACTATATATATGTATAATGTTTTAGGCATGAATCTGTATGATTTCAATTATCCTTATATTTTTGAAATTTCAGATTTTGACATGTCTGATGCTCAACAAGAACATGCTTTAGCTGTTGAGCGTCTTGCCCCAAGATTAGCTGCTCTTAGGATTGAACTTTGCCCTGGATATATGAGCGAGGGTTGCTTTTGGATGATCTATTTTGTACTTCTGCATCCTCGGCTAAATAAACATGATGCAGAACTTCTGTCCACTCCCCAAGTAAGTTCGTGGTTCTTTTTATTTTCATTGGTTTGGCCCTCAATTTTTGTGATTCTGATGTGTATTATGTTCTTCAGGAGGCACTTCAGTATGAGAATGAGAATAAAATTAATAATAACAAAGTAATTAGATGCACAAAATTTTTTAGTGCTATTTGGAAAATAGAGCTCATCTAATTCTGTGCATGTCTTTTTCAGACTTGAACATCATTTTCACCAATTCTCTCTTACTAGAAAGGAGTGCTATTATGCCTGACATTTTTTTGTTGTGGTCATCTTTGTCTGCTAACATCTTTTTAGATCTCTTCTTTCTCCTTCTATCAACATTTTCATCACACTTATGCACATCATTGCCTTAAAACATAACCCAAAAGTTTTTAACCCTTTTCAATGAAAATTTTGGTATGGAATGAAGGGAAAGATTGTTAGTGCTTTTCTGTGTGATTCAGCTTCCTTCACCCTCTATTCCTCTCTCCCTTTCTGCATTTCTAACTGTTAAATGACCTGCATGCAGATAGTTGAAGCAAGAGCAATGTTAATGCAAGGGTTACAGCACCGAGCTAAGGCAAGGATGGCCGAAGATCATTCTGAAAGTGGCACTTCAAGTATAATGGCTGATTTACCATGTGAAGAGTCTATTTCTGTAAATTCTGTCACTCAATCTACGCCAGTGCCACTCAAGGCATCTGGAACTGAAATAGCCGCAACTGCTGTAGCTGTTGAAATTGAAAAAGAAATGCACCCAGTTCAGAGTACTGAGATGCAGGTTGTTGACAAGTCTGTCATCGAGGAAGGGCCAATGAAGGAGACCAAACATCAATATTCGGCTTCTGGTTCCTCTGGAATTTCTATTGAGAAATTTGAAGATGATGCTGATGACTGGTTAAAAGAGGAAACTTCAGAGGTAGTTGGCACTGGTGCTACCACAATCCCTCTTGGAAATGATGAGGATGTTTCATTCAGTGATCTTGAGGATGATGACGATGTGCCAATAAGTTACAAGAAAGTGACATCTGGTTCTGATTCTTCAACAAAAGACTCAAGAGATTGGGTTCAGCTTGGCAGAAGCTCTACAGACTCAGGTAAAGACGTTGGCTGTGCTGGTGATAAACATTATGGGTCTGAACAGGTAAGTACTCGTAACCCTGAAACCAAGGAATCAAATGACTGGCTTGATATCGAAGAGATCATGTGAACCAAGATTCTTCTTGCTTATAACACTGTGAATATTGTTGTGTATGGCTTCTTCAGTACGAGCTAAGGCTATGGAAACTATGTGTTTTGTACATAAAACCCTGTCAAAATTGGATAATTACATGCTGATGCAATATTCATGTAATTGTCTAATAAATTCAGCACCTACCATATCTAGGTATATATGTCATTGCTGTTGATCAGGAATGCATGCTAAAAGTTTGGAGCTGTAGAGATAAGAGGGCCGTGCCAGTTAGAAAACACAAAACTTACCAGAAAAACTGTTTTATATTTGAAGAGCAATGGACAAGCATCGTGTTGCTTTTTGTAATTAGGCTTCTTGATTTTTGAAAGGAATTATTAGGAAAACACATACACACGCGAGAGACAACGAAGTTTAGTGAGCTTAAAGGTAATTCAAGGACATTTGCATTGAATTAGTTGTGGAATATAATCAGCATTGGGCAGAAATGGAGAATCCGGGCAAAATGAACTGATCGATCTAACGGATTTTATAAGCAAAAATATGACTAAAAATTTATGGAACTTAATCAGCCTTGCGCATAACTAATTAATTTATTGCCAAGTCAAAGTTTAGCATAGGCTATCATATAGGCGAGCAAAAAGGGAGGTTTAGAACAAATCGGAGAAAGATTCAAAGAACAGTGTTAAACAATGACCATGGCTTTGACTAGGAAGAGAATAATAATCTTAAAAAATGCCTAGTATTTCATTTATACAGACTTATGTACAGACAAGGGCATGGGTACAGCTTGAAAGCAGTTCCCGAGTTAGGAACTCCTCATGATCTAATGAGACCCAAATTTCCAGAAAGTCGCTCAAGCTGAGACCATAATAAATTTCCTAATGAAAATCTCGGCCTTTCTTCCGCTTCACCACTGCTGGTTCTGCTAATGCTAGATGAAGAAGCTCGAGAAGTCCCGTTGGGGGACTTGTTTACCACCAAAGCAGATCCTCCAATCTCTTGTCGCACCAATTCCACTGTCCTCAGATTTGCATCATGCCCTGAAGCATCTGTAACATAGAAAGATCCAATTGCTCTCTCCTCTTGTGTCCCTATTTCCGCCCTGGTTATTGATAGCCCATTTTCTCGAAACACCCTGGTCACTTCCGAGAGCAATCCCATCTTGTTTTTGGTACATACATCCAGCCTCAACCCCTGCATCAAAATACCATAAAAGGATTACTACTACTGCTATTTTACTAAATACAACTTAAACAATCAAAGCAGAAGAAAAAGCTGCATGTTTTAAGAACTAACATGGGAGACTCTTCGTTCGATTGCTGCAATCAAACATTGTGTAAGTTTACGTCTTTCACTTTCTGTAACCAAACTGCAGCCGTCCTGCCTCCTTATAAAATATTCCTGAAAGTAAATCGTAGTCAAACCAAAACATGAAGGCAGTTATAAACAAAGAAAACATGTTGAGCCGTTTGCAAGAACTTCTTGTCAAGGTACCTGATCAGCCATGGCACCCTTTGAGCTAACTGCTGCATGGAACACCACATATTGCATGTCAGTTAAGGCACAAACCGTATCAAACAATAGCTTGGATCTGTCTCTACTCCTCACATTCACCACTGAGTACCCCTTTTCCCTGCAAGTTTCTATCGTCACATGAGTCCTCGTACACCCATTCCAGTGCCTGCAGCTGCCATTGCAGCCCTGACACTGCTCGTAGTCTCTAACGGCATACATTAACTGGTGGAGCCGCCTCTCTGTGTGTGTCCTACCAGCTGCCGGAGCAGTTAACCGGACACTCCTCTGCTCTCCACTCTCATGATGGGCCTCAACTACACTCTCTAGCTTTTCTTGTACTTGAGCCAGCCTTTCCGATGCCATGATGGGCCCTCCCTTGAGCCCATCTTCTACATGGATAATGCAGGCCACGCGGCCATTATGGGTCCATGCCACAGCTGCAGTGACATGGCATCCCAATTCGTATAGAGCTGCCGATATCTCTGACATGAGGCCAGGCTGGTCCCTCCCAGTCATCTCCAAGGCTGTATGCTCTGTTGAGACATGGCACGGCCTCACCTCTCTTTTAAGGCATGTTTGTAATTCCTTTGGAATCCCTCCTCTCCTCCGAGTTGCACAAAGCGCCTGTCAATTATCATTTTCTTATTAGAAAGCAAACCCATAACTTAATTAAACAAAACTAATTTGTTATTTTACAGTAAGATAATATCAGAGAAACCTAGAGAAGAAGAAACCTGTTGAATATAGAGAATAAGAGTCTCGTCAGTAATTTTGTTCCCTAGCTCGTCAGTCACATGGAACACTGCAGCCACGCAATCACAACGAAAATACCCGCATGAATTAGGTGACAGAAAAATCTCTTTTGATATTTTATAATAAATCAAGAAAAGAAAAGCAGGGGAAAGAGTGAATAAGTGATGCAAGGGTAAGGTATGGGGCACTTACCGTCCATGAGCCAGCCACCGTCGGAGGAAATGTATGATTTGGATATAACAAGGTGAAGATCTGTCAAAACTTGGACCATCTCTAGCAAAATCCCATGCCTGTTTGCACTGTCCACCTGTGAACGTTGACATGTTAAAAAAAAGGGTTTATCGGGTCATTTTCTTGCTTTTCAATTGGTATACCCATTGAAAAGCCTGGTTACAAAACAACTGCATAGACCAAACTAGCTTATTTCACCCTTCTAAAACTGTGCCTCTCTTTTTCTTGGTTTTTACTGGTCTTTTGAGAACTAGATCATTACGTCAGTTCAGTTGGGATGCCATGCCATGCCATGTTTTAACGTGCAAAGTGCAATCCTAACACTAAAGCTAAATAAATTAATCAATGCTAACTGTTAAAGCACAACCATATTCTACACCTTTCCTTCTTAGTTATCTTTTCCTTTTTCCAATTTTCCTTTAGAACTTGATTTCTAAAGGCTCTCCACTCGGTTCCTAGAAAACTCTGCCTTCTAACTCCATGAATCCCAACTTTCCAACTAGTAATATTTTATTAATTTCCACGGAGACTAGTGGGAATTTGGATTCATGCGCTTTGATTACGATTAGAACAAATTGACATAGTGCCTAATTCCAAAAATATTAATTAAAACTCTGATCATGGTATATGTCTTTTCCCTGGGTTTCACACATCTATGGGCGGAATCTTGAACCTCTAGCTTACTTTTGGTGCCACTTTATTATCCAAAAATATTAAACAAAAAGATTGGCAACTGAAGTTAATGAAGTATTGGACTTGAATTATGAATTATGAATTTATAAACTAATGATATTAACTATTAAAAATAAATATTATATTAATTAATTTATAATTCAAATATTATAATAAAAATTTTTAAAATTTAAATATTAAATCAAACATTTCAATATAATATAATTCAAGCGTCGTGCACGAAGTTAACCCTAATCATGACCCAACAAAAATATCCATAAACAAAGCGTTATCATCTTCACAAACATTATCATAGATTAAATTTAATTTTAAACTTAATAATGGAGGATATTTTGATCTAACCTTAACAAGCGTGCAGTCTTGGCATGCATCGTTATCGATACAAACTCTGCAAACACCAACCAGCGAATTAAACCAGCCACTCAAGGTTTCATTTTATCAAACAAATTAAAAAAAGAAAGAATGAATAAGTTTTAATTTGTCGGTTTGCGGTATATACCTGGGAGCATGGATTCGTTCAATAAGGGATTCAAACTCAGGATCAATATAAGGCTGGTAACCAATCTCCATATTTCTTGATCTTTAATGTTGGAATAGAGCTTTCAAGTTTGCTTCATTTGGAGAGTAAAGTCTTATAGGAAAAAATGAAAATAATGCATCAGCATATATATAATAGAGCAGTCTAGAATTTTAAATTCAGGAAAATACTATAAAAAAATGAAAGTGCGTGACCAAAACAATGTATAAATGGAGGAAATTGTAAACAAGCGGCGTCCAGCTTGGTTTTTTAGGATAATATATAGAACAGGAGACACTTTGCAAAGACAACTGTTTTTCGCTGATATGGAAATTTCTGCAGATTTGGCTTGTTTCTTTGTTGAGAAGGAAAAAAAGGAAAGAAAATTAAATGAAAAATCTAGTTGAAAAGGAAAAAAAGGAAAGAAAATTAAATGAAAATTCTAGTTGAATCCAACTGGGATTTGGGGTCATTGAGATAAAACCAAATGATTAGTAGGACTTCTTATTAAAAAAACAAAAGAGAAAACCTTAAATTCTGGATATTGTCAACGCATGCATAAATGCAAGAAAATAAGGAAAGAAAAAAATAATCTTTGAATTTTTCTACAAGCAGAAGATTAATTAGTTTAAAAGAAACAGATCAATTAAAAAAAGAAAACCCAAGTGTTTTTCAAACACGAAATTTCAAGCAAGAAAAGTGTATATATACAGATGAAGGAAAAAAAAAAAAGGAAAACATAAAAGAAAATTGAACGTGCTGATAAAGTTGATAGCTAGTCGCCATACCTTTCTATAGCATGAAAAAACTGGGCTTGAATTGCAGAACCCAAATTCTTCTCAAAACATGGAAACCAAATAATAGTGTTGAATTGCTCTTTTTTTTTTCCTGCTCCTCCCTGTGATTTTGCCAATGATAGAAAGGTTTTTCTCGGTCTCTAAGATGCAAAACCGAAACAAATGGAGAGTCAATAGACCCAATACAACCAAAAATAAAAAATAAAAAAATAATCTCCTATCCAAATTTGGAAACCCTCGAAGTCCTAAAATTTTTGTTTTGTTTCAAGCTGGTTAAGTGCTTCAAGAAAAAAACAGTGGTCTTCTTCACTTTGAGACTTTGGGTTTAGTTTCCAAGGAATTTAGAACTGTTCCAAAGAGGGGTGAATTAAATCAATTTATATAGAAATTGCCATTTTTTTAACTTGGTTACGTAGGAGGAGGAGATGTAGGAAGACCCGGACTCTCGGTGACGATTAGCCACGCAAGAGGTGGTGCAGGTATCATCACATTGTTTCGGCGGCTCCAGCTCTCCCATCGATACCACGTGGCTCCTAAAAAATTGTGGCTGGGAATTTTTCTTGGGGATTCAATCTCATCGTGTTTCCTTGCCATTTCTGAAATAGACAAAGGCTTAGGCTTTGCAGTGTCAAAAACATAGGACTCTCTTTCCCTGGTCTGCTAAGCTTATCTACTGATGACGTGCGGAATCATGGTTTTGATCATTATGCAGGCCCAGAATTTGTAACCGATAGGGCTCGCAATGGACTAAAATTGCAAAGGCCCGCCTTTTTTATTAGGTGGCATTAATTAAATATTCTGGTGGTCGTTGAAACTTTGAAAACCGATGATGAATGCCTGCATTTGCTATTCTTTCTCTGTTTTTCCTCCCAATATTTTTGCACACATCAACAAAATTATATTACAAATTATAATATCTGTCCTTTCCCTGCAGGAGACGGCTCTGTCTTTCTGCAACTGCTGTGACGTCATTGCCTTCTATAACTCGTTCATCTTTCGTAGGTTTCTTTGATTCTATTTTGATCTCTTTTCATTTTATGTTCTTTGTTTGTACTTGTAATGTCCATGGATTGAAAAACATTCAATAATTTGGCTTATTTTCTTGTAAAAATGCATGAAAAGTAAAACAAAAGAAAGGGTATTGAATGTTCTACAACTAGAAGACTTCATGTAAGGAGAGGAAGACTACAGTTGAAGCGAATTTTCTTGGTGTTTTTTCTATGGTTTTTCTTTGAAATTTTTATTTGATTAATTTATGGGGCTGCAATTGGGTTTAAAGGGTTTGGAATTTACCCGGAAGAAGAAGAAGTGGGCTGTTTTATTGGCGGCTTTTGGTTTAACTAGTTATGGTTTCTATAGAGTTTATCACTTGCCTGCTATTGTTCAAAAGAGAAACAGAGCCTCAAAGCTTTTAGGAGCTTTGATTTCCATGGCTGAAGCTGTCTCTGAGTGTGCCGAAACAATTGGAGTTGTTTCTAAAGATTTGAAAGATTTTGTGCAATCAGAATCAGACCAAATTCCTAATAGTTTGAAGCAAGTTTCGAAAATCACGATGTCCAATGAATTCTCACAGTCCATAATCAGGGTTACACAAGCTTTGACTGTGGGTATTGTACGTGGTTATAAATTGGAGGCAAGAAGTGGTAGCAGCCTAAACGCCAATTCTAGTTCAATGGATCAACTTATGTGTAAGCTTCTTACTGAAGCTGGTGCTGGTTTTGCTTATGTTGTTGTTGGAAGCTTTGCTAGGAATTTGGTCATGGCAATTTGTTCAGATGGGCAATCTGACGGAGAATCAAAATCGATTAACTTGGAAAAGAATTATTTTCCGAGATGGCTGAGTGTGGTGTGTGGTGATAAGTGTAGAGAGCTGATTGGTGATTGTATTCAATTGTCTGTTAGTTCTATGGTTGCTGTGTATCTTGAAAAGACTAAGGATATCAACACCTATGATGAATTCTTTGCAGGATTGACCAACCCTAACCATGAAACACAAGTGAGAAACGTGTTGCTTACTGTTTGTAATGGTGCAATTGAGACTCTTGTCAAAACATCTCATCAAGTTTTGTCAAGTTCTAATTCGAGTAAGAGTTCATCTTCGGTCTCTTCTTCCTTGGCAATTGAGTGCAGACAAGAAGATGCATTGTTAACTGAACTGGAAGCAAGGAACTCATTTCACGAGGTTAAGAATGATGGGTGGGCTAGCAAAGTATCATCAACTTTAGCAGAGCCAAGCAATAGGAAATTTGTTCTTGATGTAACTGGAAGGATTACATTTGAAACAGTTAGATCTTTCCTTGAGGTTTTGCTAGAGATACCATATCAAGGCATGAAAAAATGTGTTAAGGTTACTTTTGAAGCTGTTGTTGACAGTGGCCTTGAGGTAGTGAGATATGTTACTGCAAAGTCCTCAGTTGTAGCTACCATATGTCTGTCTCTGTGCTTGCATATTCTCGGTGGTGTTTGTGTCTTGGTGCGAGCCTAATTCCTTTCACAAAGTCATGGCAACCTATAGATTCACCTTTATTTGTTTGTGTCTTAGCTGTATTTTGTGTCCAACTCCTTGAATATCTTGAAATCTTAATAAATATCAGCAGAATTGAGGAAGTTGCTTCCATGAATGAATGAAAATACTTGTCTTTCTGTTTCTTTTTTGGTCTCCCTGAAATTTAATTTCAATATTGCTTTTGGCAATGTGTAATCTGCAACAGTTGTATAGTAAGTTTCGGCATTATGCTTCTGTTATGGCCTAGAACTCTACTGCTGATGCTTTTGCAATGCCTTAATGGCTCGAGTTTACTTCTGCAACCAGAAGAAGCATTTTAATACCTTCCTTACTGTAAATTAGCTGGATTTAATTGAATGTAGACATCAAAGCGATACTGACAAGAATGGCACTCTTAAATGTATTCTGCTTTCATACATATAAATTGTCGTCTAAGTAACTTGTCTATGTTTATTTCCGGCTGTAGTTTGAATTGAATAATAACCATCTCTAGTATATAACCATTACCCGCCTACAAGCTGCCCTGCCAGAACACTTGAAGCTTTGCCAGGATGGGTCTCGGAATTTTGAATAATTTAAGCGGAGAAGACCATGTCAATTGCTTGTTTTTCTTTCTTTGCTTACGTGTATTAGATAAGAACATCAGAATTTGTGTCAAATCTGATTTTCGGAACAGAATTGGTCAACTTTGTCAGCTGGTGGACAAAAGTTAACTATTTGCATATCCTGACCATAAGTAGAACTTCCACTTTTAGAATGGTGGCAAGACATCACCTGTTTGGGACTTAGTGCATCATCATCTTAATTTTTTCAAGACTCTTCCTACATTTCAGATTTGGAATCACGTTAAGGAATCGGTCCATTTGTGCAATAGTAACCCCTTCTCACCGCAATACCAAACGAAGCTATCAGTATGCAACAAATGAAGATAAAAATTGCCCGGTCAAGCTTATAGGGGTTACAGGCATTCCTGGAAGAGTAATAAGAAGTCGACAAAGTGTAGTAGCTATGCCAGTGCATTACACAATTTCTCCTTTATGCAAACTGCAAAGCAGCTTGTATTCAATTTTACGTCAGATTTGACATTTGAGTAGTTAACTAGACAAGCAATGGTACAAACAGGCATGCAAATTATAACATAATCTTAACAGGCACTCAATTGAATATTGTAAGTAAAGTGCTGCTCACCAAAAGAAGTTGCTTATTCTTTCATATCTTAACAGAAAAAGCAGTATCAAGAAGAAATACATCCTATAACCTATTGTGAACAAAATGCATTGATGTATACCAGCTTTTCCTCCATACATAACTTCCGAGCTTGAATAACATCAAGATAAGGCAGCAAATGTTTAACACAGCTTAAGCATCTTCAAAGTCAAACTGGTCGCGGAACTCCCATTTTCCACTTTTCGGAAACAACCGGATCGGACAAAATTTAATAAAGACATCAGCTAAGTTGACTTACCGTCGTTCTGCTTCGCAGCAGCCTCCTCTTGCAGCTTCTTTTTCCAGTAATCATCAAGAGGAGGTCCAAATATCGCCTTCCCAGAAACAACTCCAATTCTGCAAAATGCAACTAGTCATTTACCTCAACAATGAAAACAATTTACATGTAAAATCGGATTAAGCCTTTTCTATAAAGCTCTAAGCCTATCAGGTATGCCAACCAAAAATGGGAATGAAAAGATGGAAAATTTTGGTTGGTGCTTAAAGCTCTAAGACTACCCGAAAACTTGCGTACCTATGACAAATTGAGAACTTAAAGCTTTTAGGAAACACCAAAATGGAACTTACCTAATACCATTGAGAGTCATAAAGCTCAGTTACAAACCAATATCATACAAAAACAAGGGATAACCTACCAAAATGATGCATATAAGGAGATTCTGGTCTTGCCAAAGATAATCTTGCACAATCCTCATATAGAAAAGTTAATAAACAGCAAGCTATCAGGAACAAGTCATGTTTAACGGCCACTGTATTGAAACTTCGTACTTGCTTTTATTCTAATATTTGTAGCTATCAGACATATCTTCCACTTCATTGTTAATGGGTTTTCCTCAACAGGTAAAATTCAACGCTTCAGCCCTCAAAATCAATTACACAAAAAAAAATCATCAAAAATGTGGGTTTCATTGAATTAAATTTGATAAGGGAACGTTTCTATTATCAATTTAGTAATGAGTAAATCAAAGATCTAACTTTTAAGACATAATTACCTTGGGAATGTTCTTTATGCAAGATTCAAAGCTGGGTAACACTCAAACATGGAAAACCCAATTGGTATAAACGAGTTAAATTAAAATAAAAACCCAAAAAAATACAAAAAGCAGATAATGAGACTTACATGACTGCTCCAATCACCATTGGAAAAGAGAGAAACTTGCTTCTTCTAAACATTTCTTTCAACCTCTCTTCAATTTTGGAGCTTTCCCCTTCTACCCTTTTATAATTATTTTTATTCTCAATTTCCTTTTTTCTGTTTTTTCTTCCGGGTTTTGGCTGAACGAACAATCTCAGCGTTTCTGATCCTTTCATGAAAGAAGAAAGAGGCTCTTAATGCCCATTAAGGGTCCATTAGGCCCATTATTTTTGGGCTAGACTAACACTCTGAGCCTGTTTGGTTTAATCCTTTGTTTTCAAACTCATTCTCAATTGGGTTACTGCTAAAATCAGCTCTAAAACCAATTTCAAGTTTAAATTCTGTAATTTCCCTTTCCTTTCACAACAATTGACTTGGCATTTTTATTTCATTTTCCTTATCTTTAGCTCTTTTTATTCAAACCAAAGAAGATAGACCATGGATTGCGATTATCAGTTGAATGAAACTGTGTCAACTTTAGAATAAATTCTCATTATTATTGGAAACCAAATGCTCTAGCTGACTTAAACCAGAAATATCATCACCCATGACCTTATGAATGAAAATATTTAGATAGTGCTACTAATATTCAGCTAATAATACCATTACGTCCGGATCTGACTCCTCTCCGATCCATTCAATTATGAAACATGCAATTCGGGTTCAGTTCAAACTCCATAACAGGTTTACCAAAATAAAAATATTTGCCATTGAAAAGGAAAGATGGTGATATTAATAGTAATGAACAGATCATATAATGTACAGGATGCACACTAGCAATTGGCCTAGTTTATGCCATATTAGAAGGGTATGACTATTGACTTGGTCTTACAAAAAGAATTTAAAAACATTTGACCAAAATAGTTGGTGGGCAAATGCCTATTCACGTTGGCATTAAGCCACCAATACTATCTTAAATAATTAACATCAACATATATATATTTTTACTTTTAAGTTACCAAAATTTAAATTTTATCACTAAAATTAAAATTAATAATTTATCATGTACCTCATTTTCATTAATATTTTGATTAATTAACTAAATTATGATTTCCGCACACTAATTATAATTAAATGCGTTAGACGTATATGTCAAGCTTCCCCTTACAGGCAAATACAGTAATTATCAGGTTTTCTTTGAGTTTGTGATTTGTTAATAGCTATGTAGCCTTGTCAGTGTTGGATAACGTTTCAATGAAAGCAAAGGAGTACTGATTTTAGCTTATTGGTTTTGCATTGTCAAAAGCTAGGAAGAGGTAGCCAAATTCTAATGGTCCTTGAACTAAAAAATTGTCAATTTTTGCTTTTTGTTTTCTAGAAATGATGTGAAATCCCCCTCTACATATGGAATATAACTCGACAAATTTTGTTTCTTATGGCCAAGAAAAAGTGCATACTTTGCTATTGACAAGCAAGTTGATAAGACAATCCGGTAAGGCAAACATTTTCAAGACTTCTCATCTATGTTCATTCCATCTTAACAGTGAAATAATTAATTAACCATCTTCCAGGAATGCCAATCAAATCTAAATAAAATTTCAACTGTCAACTACATTTTCGATCTTCCTCAACTGTATAAGCCTGCATTAAATCCTCAGCTATAGGGAAATGCAATTAGTTTTGGCTCCTTTTGGTTGGATTTTTCCTGCATGACTCTTTTGATTTGAATGAACCAAAAAGAGTAGGAAGTTATTTTGGTGGTTGAATAGAGATGAATATGAGGCTTAGGGGGAGGCTAGAGGAATAGAACAACACATGCAAAAATGGATTCAACTTCCTTTCGGTTGCTTCTTTTTTTTTTTTTTTTTTTAAATTTAAAGAATATTGATCCTACTGAAATGCGCATGCATTTTGCGTAACATAGATAAAATAGTCAAACAAGGTTACACTTTTTTCTTCACTAAATTCTATTCTTGAGGTGCAAAGTAATCATGATATTATAGAAGATCTAGAAGGGAAATCCTTATAGATTGGGATTTAGTAGTTCGCAATTTTTGACCTCCCACCCCGTACATGGAATAGTTTGAGAGGAAGAAAGTGATTTAAAGATCATGGTTCCTTTTTCTTTCTTACTTGTTTGGGGCATTATCATTGGATTAATTATTTTTTCCCAATCTTTACCTTGTTAATGTTTTTTGGCAAATTTTCAAACTAGCCTTGTAGATTCATAACTTTGATAAGAAATTCATTAAAAAAATCAGCTTGAACTTCAGACACTGTTGTTTGAGGTTGAGGTGAATTAAGCTAAAAGTGCAAGACAATAGGTTTATTCTTTAGTTTACAAATTTCAACCGTTGATGAAAGTGAATCTTATTTTTTCCTGATACAAAAGCAATTTTAATTAATTACCAACTAATTAAGTTGGTTGACACATTTTTCAACTGTTAATTTTTATCCCTTGTTCCAAGAGGCAGAGCAGTCAATAGTCTTCTGAGTGTTAAGAAAAAGATCTCCCAAAGTAAAATTCTTGTATTAACAAAGTCTTTATACTTGAAAATCAGATACTTTGATTCATGCAGCTCTAATCTCAACATTTATAATTTTATTTTATTCTTAAACTACAACTTTTTTTTAAATATAAAAAAATCATTCTGCTTAGAACTTTAGGAACAAGGAAGCTTCACTTTAAGTTGATTAAGGATTTATAAACTATAGGACAATAGCTTTATTTTTATTTTGTTAATATTAGTTTATAATGGCACTATTTTTTGTTTTTGGCCAAATAAGGGCACTATTTGATATAAATAAATATAAAGCTTAACAGCTGTTCCCAGCCCTGCATTAGTAATAGTTTTGGCATCATGATTCGTGAATATCTTCCAACACAGGAATGATCCCTACATAGAAACATTCACTAACCAATTAAATAATATATTTTGCAAAAGCATTCAAGGAAAAATGATAAAATGTTTAGCATTACAAAAAATTTAGAAAAATATGTCACTAATTCAAACCATATTTCCAAAACTTAATCAGAATATGGAAGAAATATATTCAGAAGACATACCCCAGTATGATCGAGATAGAAAATATATTAAGAAGACATACCCCAGTATGATCGAGGAAAAAACAAGCACAGAAAAAGTAGAAAAACCTGACTAATTAAGTTATTAATTATATAAGATAATTAGCAAGCATGATAAATCGTAGTTAAAAACTAGAAAGGAAGATAAAAAGTCTCATGGCTTCTGCTTCTGAGTATAGATATAATCAATATGAGCAGCAAGAGTTCTTCTCATCAAACACTCTTCTTCCCCAACTCCTTCACAGCTATCTTCAACCGCCTCAGTCGACTGCTCTGTCTCAACAGTGGTACCCTATGAAAACGCCAAATTATCAATACAAGTTTAAGAAAAAAAAAAAGAAGGAAAGGAAGGTAAACTCAGTCAAATTTAACTAACCTCAGCTTGGGTTTTTGCAGGAGACTCGTTAGGGAAAGCTGGGCCAGAGCGGGCGGCAAAGGATAGAGTGGAAACAAGGAGGAGGGTTAGGACGAAAAGGGCGACAGGTTTAGCCATCTTTGCTTTGTTAATCAGAGAGCAAAGGAAAAATCAATGAAAAAGATGATTGACGATTTGCGGAGATGAAAGAGATGGGGAGAAGAGAGCGTTGGTGGTGGCAAATATATAGAGAAGGGTGAAAGAGAAAGCGTGTGAACTCACGAGGTGGGAAGGGAAGACTTCTGATAAATATAGCCGATAAATTGACAGAATAAAGAAACAAGAATGTTTTAAAATTGGGTTTTTGGAAATGAGATAAAAAAAAAAAAAAAAAAGGTGGAATTAGACCGTAGGAATCAAACTGAAAAACCAGCAGCTCCAAAGAAAAAAGTTGTCGAATGATTATATTCTGCCAAAGCTCTGTTTGGCAATGCTATTTATAGAATAACTTGGTTGAAGGGGAAAAAAAGAGAAATGAATTTTTTTGGACTTCGGATTTAATAAATTTGTAAAAGGAGCCAATTAATGATGATTACTAGCGTATCATGCAAAGGGGGAGATCTGTTTAATACTTTCATGTTAGGAAAAGTACTATTTGTACGGCTTTCGATTCGGTAGGTAAGATTATTAGCTTAGGTACTTTGAATGAGAAGAGATTTGGCCTATTTTCTTGACTGGCTGAGATTTTATTTTAATTTTTGTGTTTTACAATTTTTTAGATAAAATAATCGAAATGGGTTTGATTTTCAAGGTTCATAAAATGAATTTATAGAATTATCACCGATTGTCTGATTTATAATAAAATATTAAATTTTAAATTCAGTGATTAAAATTTAATCTTTGATAATGTAAAATAAAAAAATAAACTATAGAACTAAATACTTGTTTTTAATTTCTCAAATGATTTTATCAGGTTTATACACTTAAAGAATTGAGCTGTTAAGAATATTAATGTAACAAGGTCTCCCGTTTTTTTTTATCATCTTAGAAAATATGTACCAAATATAAGATATCCCCACAAAAACATGAAGATACATTTAGTAAGTTGATTCTTTATGCCATCTTAAAATTTATTTATAAATAATATTAGTACTTTTTATAATATGATCTAAGTGTTCCCAAGCTTTGCTTAAGCTTTAATCCTTACTCAAATGATTTAAAAATTTTTAATTATGGATACTAGTAATTTTTTATAATATGATCAAAATGTTTTTAAACTTTGTCTAGGCTATAATCCTCTCTTGAAACGATTTTAAGGGTTTTTTTCAACTGCTTTCCACCTTGTTATGTTACTTAATTGGGGTTATATTTATAAACTTTTAATTTTAAGTTTTATATTTAAAATTAAAAATTAAATTATAATTACTAAAATTAAAATTTTAACATTCTATCGATAAATTAGGACGATATTAACATTAATTCATTAATTTTATTAGTTGTTGCTTGTCAAAATTAAAATAACAAAATCTAATAAATAGTTTTTTTTACTTAACTATGATACATCTGTAGACACCTATTTCCCCAATCTATTTTTAATTTAAATAATTTTTTATTATTTTTTTTCATTTCTTCTAACACTTTTTTTTCTTTTTTTTTTTTAGCATCCTTTCTTTCTTTTCTTCATCTTTTACACAAAATCACAGTGCATTTAATGTACTAAAAATCGTCTGTATTACTTAATTTGGTAATATGAAATCTGGTGATCAAAACTTATCGGGTATATTTTTATTTTTTTTATAAAAAAATATCAAAAAGTCTATAAAAATCTGAGATTTTGATATTTTAATTGGCTCTATAAATAGAGCCAATTCTTATAAAAAAAAATCAACACATAAAAGCCTAGGAAAAAACAAAGGGAAAAACTACCAGAAAAAAAAAAAAAAAAACACACACACACACACACACATAAACAAAGAGCAATCTTTTAGGGTTCTTGGGTTACAACAAAAAAAAAAGTACATAGGCAGTAAGAAAAAAAATACCATGGTCCTCTTATAGGAGGAACCTCCAATAAAGAAAAACACTTTTGTTTGTAAAAAAAAAAAAGTCAAAATAGGAAACTTTGATCTAAGAGATTTGGGATTTTTTTTTTTGAAAAATTTGGTTTGGGAATAGTGTTTATAAAAATATAACATTTTGAGATATTTTTGGATTTTAAAAAAAAATTTAGGTTACAAAATTTTAGAAAATATTTGAATTTTTTAATGATTGATGAGTTTTTTGGCGATCATTTGAATTTTTTAGCTACTAAAATCTAGAAAAAAATTTAAGTTTTCTAGCACCGGTTGAATTTTTCAACTACAACAAGGCGACAATTGGTCAAAAATTGGGTAGCTATGACAGTTGGCAGAGAAGAGATAAGGTTTAAACAGAAAAGCTTTGGGGTTTAGAGAAAGAGGGAAAGAAAAAAATAAAAAACAAAAAGGGAGCTTTTTATAGGCATGTCAAAATGACGTCGTTTTGGCACATGGGTCAAGCCTGGCTCGCGCCAAGATCCGTGCATGACCCACCAAGTGACTCAACCCATTTGGTTACTTTTTTCTTTTCTATTTTATTTTCATTTTCTTATTTCATTTCTTTTAATTTTTATTTTTACTATTTGTTTAAAATTTTTTATACTTTTTTATATATTTTTTAAATAAATAATTGTCAGCAATAATAAAAATGTAAAACAAATAAAAAAGAAATACCAAGATTTTAATTTAAAATGAAAGGCTAAACAAAATAATAATAATATTAAGGAAATAAAAAGAGTTTTATTTTCCTACAAGTAAAAATATTTCTTGAATTTCATCAAGGTGTTCGGATAATTCAAGAAATTATATTTGCTAAAAAAATAAAAAAAATTAATTACTTATTTGAATAAATTTTTTAAAATAATTCAATCTTTAAAGAAAATTGAAATAATTCAATTTTCTTTAATTAATAGAACCAAAAAAAATATGTTTAGATTTCGCCGATGAGTTAGGATAATCTAAAAATTATTTTAACTAAATAAATATTTATTTAAAAAATAATAAAAAATAATAAAAATAAAAATATTTTTTAAATAAATTTCTTAATTATTAGATTTATTTAGATAACAAGAAAAAAATAATCACAAAAAATAATAAAAATAAAAATTAATTAAATATTTAATTAAATATCTTAATTATCATCAATAAAAAATAATTTTATTTAGGATTTCGTTAGAAAGTTGGGATGATCCTAAAATCAATTTAAAATTTTTAAGATTTCGTTGAAAAGTCGAGATAATTCGAAAATCAACTTAAAAGTTTTTAAGATTTCGCAAAAGAGTGAGAATAATTTTAAAATCAATTTTAATAAATAAATAAAATATCTTATGATAAAATTTCAAGAACTTTATAAATGTTCAATTTTTAAAAAAATTTTTTGAATTAAAAATATTTTCTATAAATACCACCAAAGTGTTAGAGAATTTATATAACGTGAATAATAATAATAATTTCTCAAACTAAAAAATATTTTGCATAAAGAAATTTTTAAAAGAGTTAATTTTAAATATTTTTAAAAAATATATTATTAAAATTAAAAGATAACATATGTATAATTAGTATCGTTCTTTGAACAGACGACATGATGGTGTTAATATCATTCTCATTTGTAATCGTACTCCCGAACTTCACCTTAATTTTGTAGACCAAAATGTCTTTTAATAAATTTTAACTAATTTTAAAATTCTTATCAAAAGATGATATTTTGGATGGCCAAATACATCCTACAAAAAGGATTGATGGCGACTTCAAAAATTTTCATCAAATCCTACGATCGAGTTCTCTTTGACAAAAAATCGTTATGACAGCTTGATGACTCCATTAGAGACACTAGAGAGTCAAACCAAAAATTAAACATGTGTCATATAAACTTTCATTTTACAATCTTTTTTATATTTAATTTTAATTCCTTATCTTATCTTAGAATAAAAATAAGATTCATAAAAATAAAAAAAAAATAAAAAGGCAAAATTTTGATAGTTTCATTTAGTTTGGTTATGTTATTCTTCTTGCCTTATATTGTTGCTAATTACGTTATTAATTTTATTTCGATTAACAATTGCTATTTTTTCTCACACACATGCACATTTGCATTCATGCACGAGCTCTATAGCTCCCAAATCTATCCTTTTTAAGGAAGGAGTAGAATACCTATGCTTTCGTGAGGTTATAATGCCTCTGCTTGGGCTAGCGAAATACTTCCATTCAAGTTAAACATTTTTCATCGACAGCCTATTATGAGTGAGGATCGAGAGCCTTACTAGTCCAAAGTAGATGCCAGCGAGGATCAATTTAAGAATGTTTTTAGCATTTGTTAAATATCAAACCCTGCATTTAATGAACCTTAAAAAGACAACCTTATATAGAAATATACCATTTTTTGTAGATTATACCTTAAATTAGGATACATGAGGGATTATTTATTTTAATATGATTACTAACCTTAATTTGTTTTACTTTTCTTTTGTTTCATGATCATGCATCATCATAAACACTTATTTATGAGATGTGCTTGTCAATATGCCAATATTAGTTAGAAGATTTTTTATCTTGCTTCATAAATACCAGCATGATGTTCTCTGCTTCGAAGCCCATCATGTATGAAGAGGCTAATGAGGCAATAACTTTATCATTTCTGAAAGAATCTAAAGAGAAAATTTTGCCTAAAAAAATCAAACTGGGGTTTTAGCAAAATAACATCTCTGAGTTGGTTAAAATATGGCATCGTGTAAATGGCTTTCAAGGGAAAATATAATCATATTACTTCACTTTTTGAGGTGCCAGTGAAAAACTAATTGATAAGAGCTCTAGTTTAATTTTGGGACTCTACTTATAGATGTTTCATATTCAACGAGATAGATATGACCCTGATGATCAAAGAGTATGCTATGATTGCATCTTTTCAATCCAGATAAAATCTATTAGTGTGGTAAAAAACTTAGATCATGAAAGAAACTTGCATGTATAATGGAAGTCCCCACTCAGAATGTAAACTCATATATCCAAATAAAAAGCAAAAGTGATTGCATCTCATGAGAAATCTTACACAATTACATCGTCAAATACTTAGAGGATGAACAAGGCATAAGAATCATGCTTTGGCAATTTATGGCTTAGTCATTTTTTCAAAGGTCTTGAGGCACATTGAGTTATCAATAATTGATTTCCTCGAGCATGTGTATAACAAGATTAATCTTGTTTCTTTTATATTGACAAAAACTTTTAGATCATTGAATCACTATAAAAAAAAAAGAGGACGTTTTATTGGGTTTACACAGTTACTTTATATTTGAGTAAAAAGTCATCAT